AACGTAGTTACCCGAAATGGGGGCAAACAACTAGAAAATAAACAGTAGGGTGTTGAAGAATATTTAAAAATGTCATATGGACACCTTTACTGTTAACGCCAAAGGTATAAACGTTAAGGTATCGAGTCTAGTGTTATTAGAAGGCAAAGAGCTATTGCCAGTACAAGCGGACCTGCGAGCCCCAGGAAATAATTCAGAAGAAGATTTGATCGCTGGGTCAAGACCTTTATGCGCCTAACGTTTCGAAATCTGTCGCAGTACCTTCATCAGACACATCATCAGTACTCATGAGCCGCTTCTGCTGCTGTTTCTGCTAATTCCTCTGATGACGCATTCGCGATGGATGCGAAACCTCGGACGAATAAAAGTATTGTCTCAACGACCACATCTTCCCCCCTCCGCCTTTAATTACTGCTGATTGGTTGCTTAAACTTTTGCCAACTCAACCCCCTTTGTATTATTGTGCACGCCTGATGATGAATTAATCGAAAACGTTCGTTCGCCTATCTTGACTTCCTGAATGCTTACATGGGTATCATCGCTGAACTTAAACAATCAAGTTTTGTTACTGTTAAATGGATGTAAGTGAAGGCAACAAGAAAACAAACGTGAGAACATACAGGCACGTTTAAGGATAATCTTATGCACGTTATCTCTAAAATCGATTCGGATTTATGAGAGTCGAGAATCAATAGTAACCAGTGATACTACTTACGTAGTCATATATTACAGCTTGTGAGCTTTGTAGGCGGTCTTGTTCCAGTGATCGCATCCTCTTCTTCTGAACTGCTTCCTGGAACTCGCATATTCTCCAATATTGGCGGTGACTGAGATATCTTGGAATGATACTGCACGACCTTGCTTAAGTAGTATTTTCTAATCGGAGTTAAGTGAGAATGGTGGCTTACCTTTCACGAGAAACCACATCTTCTGTAAGTGCTGTACTACCACCAGAAACTGCGGTAGTAATTTCGATACTTGGTGGAAATAGCGATAAGTGTAGTAAGCTAGTGTGGTCTGCGTCACAACCCTTATAGTTTTGATTCGATATATTACGCTTTTTATTGATAGTAACAAATAGTTGCCGTACGCTGTGAGCCTAAACAATCCGACATTTCATTGCACTCATATGAAAGGTCATGTTACTAAAATCAAATCAGTAGGACGTATAGTTATGATTAATTCCATTGGATTTTTGTAGGTAACTTACGCCTGGCACGTGAACTAGTGGGCCAGTCAGACGCCGGCAAACGCTTTGACCCCTATGAGGCTGCCCAGACCGTCTTCCCGACACTGATTCGTCCTCTACAGAAGTACATGCGCGCCACACGCCAGCAGTCACGTCATCCCGTGGACTCGGTGATAGATCATCTTGCCATGTGCCTCACCTACGGCCTCTCGCCACTCAGTTTC